GTTTCGTTCATGGAATTAAGTGCAAATAAATAGAGAAATATACTTTGTTGAGTGTAGAATTGGAGATATTTTTAGGGTTACAGACTAAAAATCCCTAATTCGATCTTAATGTTTAAAAACTAAAGCGAGAGTTAGCCTTCAGGGTAAGGGAAGTAGGAGCTCTAGAGTGGGAGCCAGTATCCTCCTAGCCTAGCCACGAATTTGAGGACTAAACCTAAGATTAGCCAATGATTTTCTATAACACTGAATCAAGGTAGAGAATTAAAATTGCTCCTAATTGGTACAATACAAATCTAAATCATTTATCTAATCTCATTTTATGAAAAACTCATTGTAGTGGGAAAGATTCATTTTTTCATATTAGAAAACTTCATCACATAAACATAGTTTAGTAGTTACTATTTTTAAAACTCTACATTTAAGTTTTGCTAGTAGTTAATAATTTAGTTTTGTTAGTATCTTACACTTTCGAAATTAGTAATAGTAATTTCGTTTGATTTCTGTGAATTTCCTAGTTAATTTATCATTTCAAATTTAAACCTTCCCCGTGGGATCGATATTTGGGACTTAAACAGAAAGTCTTATATTACTTGATAATGATACATATACTTGCGTAGAATCCCAATCTTAAGAGCTTAACTTTAATATTACTAAAATACCACATCAAGTTTTTTGCACCATTGTAAAGCGGAATCAACTTTATAAATTTTACACAACTATATTCAAGCAGGATCAGTGATATTCATGTGGCTTAAAAACACTTTGACTTGTATAATGTGTAGGTTATGTTTATGTGAACTTAGATTACATGCTTTGGTCATTTAAAATTCATGCCACGTATAGTGCTTATTTGAATTTAAATATCATGCTTAATTCACTTGAATTTCATATATTTGCATATTTTGTTATATGATACTCATGTGCCTTAAAATTATATGTGAATTGTATTTGAAGTTCACTTCCATGTGTTATCTACTCAAATTATGGTGATTTGCATGTTATGTTTTGTTTATTGCGCATAGTTTACAAATGTCTATAAATGAAATAAACAACAAAAAAACTAATGAATATAAAAAAAAAGAAAGAGAAGGAAGAGAACCTCTCAAGCGCAGGTTCTCTTTGTAGTGTGCAAATATTTCACATAAAAATGTCTTATTTGCACTTATGCCGTTACCACAATGATTTGCAAACATAAAATCATTTAAAAATAAATTTAGAACCTCCACAAAAAAAAAAAAAAAAAAAGTTTAAAAACCTATTAAAAAACATTTAGAAAACTTTAAAAATTAATTATCTATAACCTTTAACAGAAATAATTTGAAAACTTTTTAAAAATAATTTTTAGAACCTCTTGAAAAATAATTTTTAAACCTTTAACAAAGTAAATTTAGTAAATTTAAAAAAAATAAATAAACCTTCAAAAAATTAGACATATTAAAATCTTTAACAAAAATAATTTAACAAACATTCAAAAAGAATTTTAAAATCTTTTAAAAATAAATTGAAAATCTTTCAAAATATTTTTAAAACATTTTAAAAAAAATTAAAAAAAACTTTAACAAAAAAAAATTAAAACCTTTTAGAACTAACTTAAAACCTCAAAATAATTTAAAATAATTAAAAATATTTTAATTTTTTTAAAACATTTCATAAAAATAACGTTAAAAACTTAATCTTAAAGCGCATTAAATTTCAACTTTTAAGAACACTTAAAAAAACCTTAGAAATGACATGAAATTTCTACTTTTAATATAATTTAAATCCTACAATTCTCACATTTGCAAAAGATTTAAAAACATATGTAATACATAAAAAAGTCAAACATCTAAAACACTTGAAACCTTAAATCACTTGAAATTTAAAAATCTTCAAAAGACACATAACCTCTAATTAGTAAATTCTCAAGTTAAATCACATAGGTGCACTTTTATATAAACACGGGTTAAAAGACAGCAACCTAACATATGAACTTAAACTTAAAAGATAAAACTGAATGAAAGACATCAACTTAAACCGAAAACCAATTGCAAAATTTCTAATATAGATTACCTTGATTCCATGCTGGCCGACAAGCATAATAGTTAAACCAAATCATGAATTAAATATCAAACCCCAATACAAATTTAAAATGCACCAACTTAAATAATAGGAACCATCACAAGGTCGATCAACAATAAACATTAGCTTAATTAACGTAGAAAAAAAACCCAAGATCACACTTTCCCTAGAATATTTTGGTCTAAAAGCATAAGTTAGCTTACTATGTACCTGTAGTTAGTGCTAAGGACTACGACCTATAAATAATTAGCTTTACCCTCATGGTTTATATAGGTGCCCTATGACAAAATATCCCATGATTACCGACAAAGGCACATTGAACCATCTAATAGTAAGATGGTTTATATTCATAATCACTATAATAACAGTTGAAATCTCTTACTATCTGATTGATTAATAATTCAAGAATACCACTGCACCAGACACAATAAAAAACCATAGACATATTGGCCAGGGGCATTATACCCACAAATCAGGTTTGTCCACCTATTTAACCTCCATATAGAGTCTAAGTTTATTTAGAGTTAAAGTTTCACTTCTATCTAGAAATCCTTCTTGGCTCATGTTCCTTAGTTTAGGATTCGAGATATTTAAGATAACCTTTCTGGTTAACATTTTTCAATCAAATCAATCAACTACAATTAAAATTTTCAAATTGAATTATTCCTTCTCAACTCAAATGAAATTTCTCTAATCTAAACCAAACTCTTTTAAGTCAAAATCAACCCAAAATTAGATTTTTTAAAACTAAAAATTTTCAAACAGACAATTAAAAATTTTCAATTTTCAATAATCTGAAAATAACATTCGCAAAACTTCGAAATCAAAACTTTCAAAAACAAAACCTTTCCTAAAACTCTAAACTTTTCAAATTTCAAGACTTTCATAACTTCCAAAACTTCAAAACTTCAAAAACTAAAACTTCAAAACTTTCAAAACTTCAAAAAATACCTTTTCGAATCCTCACATCAAAAATTTCAAAATCCTAAATATTTTGTATTTCAAAAATTAAATTATTTAATTAACCTTTAAGCCAAACTTTAAGAAAAATATTTTTAAAATAAAATCCAACTAGCCTTAAATAATTTCCAAAAAATTTCAATTAACTTTCAACAGAACTTCAGATAACTTCAAATAAACTTCAAATACCTATAAATAAACTTTAAAAATCTTCAAATAAACTTAAACAAACAATCCTCAAATAGCCTTTACCACCTTAAAATAAACTTTAACACTTTGCAAAAATTTTAACAAAATTTCATAAAGCAACTTTGGCCAAACATACTTTTACAACCTTCCAATAATATGTAAACCAACAGACCCTATCCAAAATAAAACCTTTTTTTTTTTTTTATCAATCAATTTAAAAAAAATTCAACCAACTCAAATTTTTAGCTCAAGTAAATCAATCCCAATCAAGCTCTATTCAAATCAAAATATATTTCAGGTTAAACCCTATCCAAACAATCAAACCCAATCAGGCTTTCCAAACCTTTCTCATCTTAACAATCAACTCTTTTCAAGAAATTTATAAAGCATGACAACATCAAAAGGCTTGTTAAGTTAGCTAAAGTATCGCTCTTTATATAGCAATACCAACTTAATAATAATGAATAATTGATTGATTTACAAAGGAAAACAATTAACAGTTTTGAAGCAGGCATGGCCCTAAAAGTCTACTGAAGCTTTTTTCTACGTATACTGGTTTCCACTGCAGGTACAAAAAGAACGTATACAAATATCATCAGTCAAAGCAAAATCTATGCTGGGAAAGAGATGCCAACATGATGAAAATCATATCGATCAGCATTGGGAATAAATAGCATTTTTTTCATCAAGCTCCCCTGTTCCGAAGCACTGAGGACAGATAGCTAACTAGATAGTTGCGATTTTCCCAATGGTACTCTATCACCAAACAAAGTTGTCGAATGGCCTCTCTTTTCTCCTCATCTTTGTCTAGAACCAACCTTTCTTTCTCTTTCAGATTCTTTTCTGAGTCGGCAACCCTACGTTCCAGGACCCTTAGCTCTTTATCTTTCTCAGCCAAATGGGCTAAATTTTGACTTGTTTCATCCTTCAACTTCAATATGATTCCTTCCTTGTAGGTCAGCCCCACTGTTAAATCATGATTCTCATTTTCGAGCTTTTTCTTCTCAAGTATCACTATTTTTAGCGATGTCTTTAAGTTCTGTAGCTCAACTAGGCATTCAGCCAGACGTTTTTTAATCAGTCCCAAGTTCTCCTGTGAAATTGATTCCACTTCATGAAGCTCATTAAACAAAGTTCCCATACGAGCTTCTAGTGACAGTTTCATTTGCTTGAACTCATTATTTAACTCAGTAGAATTTCTTGACCATATCAAAACATATCTGTTAAGTAACCTAAGCTCTGCTTGCAATTCTGCAACCAGCTTATTGCAGTTCTCTTCCTTGTCCTTGTATTCAGTTTCAGTGATCTTAAGTTTCTGTTTTGACAAGCGAAGCTGGACTTCAAGCCTTTGGATCTCTTTCTCAGCAGCTACTTTCCCTCCTGTGGTTTTCAACCAACTTATTGATATCATTTTTCTGCTCTGCACATATTCTCTCCAATCGCTGGATGATCTCCTCTTTCATTTCAATTTGCTCAAATTTCTTCTCCGCGGTGTCCAGCTTTGCACAAGACTCGTAATAGCAATCTTCCAGCTGCTTGTGTTTGGTAAGCAATTGTTCATAGCTTTTGTGGAAAGTTTCCTGATCTGAAATTTTACTCCTTAGTATATCTTCCATCTTTTTCAGCGACAATAAAATCTCTGAAGATATTTCAGCCAGTTCTTTTAGTTCTTGATCTAAATCACCTTTCTTGGCGAACATCTCTAGGAGATCCCCTTTGAAAGTATCACTCCAAGTTTGAATTTCATGTAAAGCTTCCTCCTGGGCTGGTTCAAACTTATCCTTCAGATCTTGTATTTCACTCGATGTATCTACCAATTTTTTGCAAAGATCAGTAATCTTGTTTTGCTGTCCTTCTTGATTGAGCTGGAAAGCCTTTTTTTCCTCTCTTAACTGGGTTTTATCGCTTTCTAGTTTTTCATTGTCAGCCTCTGCCAGCAGTAATTTGCCCGTAAAAACTGAAATTTCTGATTTGAACTTTGTCTTCTCATCATTAAAAGAAAGAATGAGTTTTCCTAAATGATTCAGCTGAATATTTACTGCATCCAGTGCCGTGATCAATTTATTTACCTTAATCTCCAATTGTGCGTTATCAGATATCAGACCATCCCTTTCAAACTTGAAATCATTTGTCGCCTTCTCAGCATCCTCTATCTTGCTCAGGAGGATAGAGTTTTTCTGATTTAATTCTTCCAATTCGGTCTGTAATCTCTTATTCATAAAATTTGCTTCATGTAACTTGTGTTCAACTTGCGAAATTTTTGAGACCAATGCCTTTTTCTCTTCTTCAGCAGCCACCAGTGCATTTGTCACATTAGTGTATTGGAGATCAGCAGATTTCATTTCAATTTCTAGATAACGAATTTTCTGCTGCAACTGACATTTTTCACTTTCTACCTCTTCTATGCGAGCTTTGAGAGCATCAATAGCCGTTACAACCTCATTTACCTTGGTCAGAAGAGATGAGTTTTCTTCAACTAATGAATTTCTTTCAAATTCAGTTGCTTCCAAGGCCTGTTTTAGCTTTGAAAGTTCCTGTTTATTATCATCCAGATCTAGCTTCAGACTTTCATGTCCAGACAACAGCAGACTGTTTTCTTCTTTCATTGAATTAATTTCAAATTCCATAGCTTCCAAGGTTTGTTTGTGTTTTGACAGTTCTTGGTTATTATTTAGCAGCACTAGCTTTAGATTTTCACCTTCGGTCAAAAGCATAAATTTCTCACTTAATATTTTTTCTGCTTCAACTGAAAGAATCCTAAGTCTTTCCTCTGACTGCTCGATCACCTTCTTAGATTCTGAAGAATCTAATGCCAATGCATAATTTTCATCATCTTTAACTTTCAGCTGGTGATTTAACTCAGCGACTGTATCATGCAATTTTGAGATATTCTCTTTCATACATCTAGACTCAATTAAGATATTCTTCTCAGCTTCTTCTAACTTGTTCAGGAGGGTAGAGTTCTTTTCAATCAATCCAGCCACCTCACTCTGTAACCTCTTTTCAATAAACTCTGCTTCTTGTAACTTGCTTTCACCAATTAATTTTTCTGACACTAATGCCTTTTTCTCTTCTTCAGCAACCGCAAGGGCATTTTTCAAATCAGTGAATTGGAGATTGGCAGATTGAATTTTGAGGTCGAGATCACTGCTTTTCAGCTGCAAGTCAGATTTTTCAAATTCAACCTCCTCTATATGAGATTTAAGACCATCAATGACCAAGCCATCCTCATATATCTTATTTAAAAGAGCTGATTTTTCTTCAATTAGTGAATTTCTTTGAAACTCTGTTACTTCCAAGGCTTCTTTCAGTTTTGATAGTTCCCGTTTATTACTTCCCAACTCCACCTTCATATTTTCATGCCCAGACAACAAAAAGGATATTTCTTCTCTTAGTGAATTCATTTCAGATTCTGTTGCTGTTAAGTCCTGTTCATGTTTGTACAATTTCTTGTTATTACCTTCCAGCTCTAACTTTAGATTTTCATGTCCAGCCAAAAGTATGGAGTTTTCACTCTTTACTCTTTCAGCTTCTACCGATAGAACCATAATTTTTTTCTCTGCCTGCTGGATCATCCTCTTAGATTCTGAAAATTCCAATGTCATTGCATAATTTTCATCACTTTTGACTTTCAACTGGTGATTGAGATCAGTAATTTTATCTTGTAACTTTGAGATATCCTTCTTGAGATGTCCGGACTCAACAATCATATCCTTCTCAGCCTCCTCTATCTTGCTCAGAAGGAGAGAGTTCTTCTGATTCAAGTCTTCCAACTTATTTTGTAATATCTCATTCGTAAACTCTGCTTTTTGTAGCTTGCTTTTAACTACTGAATTTTCTGAGGCCAGTGTCCTTTTCTCTTCTTCAGCAGCAATGAGGGCATTTTTGACATCACTGAAGTAGAGATTGGCGGATTGGATTTCAAGTTCCAGATCGTTGATTTTCTGTTGCAACTGAAGTTTTTCACTTTCTAACTCTTCTATCTGAGCTTTGAGACTATCAATGACCAACCCATCCTCATTTATCTTGCTCAAAAGAGATGTTTTTTGTTCCATTAGTGAATTCCTATCATATTCTGTTGCTTCGAAGGCCTGTTTTATTTTTGGCAGTTCCTGATTATTACGTTCCAGCTCCAGCTTTAGATCGTCATGCCAACTCAACAACAGTGTGTTTTCTTCTCTCAGAGAATTCATTTTAGATTCTGTTGCTTTTGAGGATTGTTTATGTTTCGATAGCTCCTGGTTATTACCTTCCAGCTCTAGCTTTAGGTTTTCGAGATCAGTCAAAAACACAGAATTTTCATTCTTCACCATTTCTGCTTCCACAGATAGAGTCGTAATTCTCTCCACTGCCTGCTCCACTAACTTCCTAGATTCTAAATATTCCAATGTCATTGCATAATTTTGACCCTCTTTGACTTTCAGCTGATGATTTAGGTCATTAATTGTATTATGTAACTTTGAGATATCCTCTTTCAGAAGTTCAGATTCAATTTTCATATCCTTTATGGTCTCATTAGTCTCATGCATAAGGGTCGATAACTTCAGAACCTGAGAATTCAAGCCATTATTCTCACCCTCCAACATCAGCAATTTATCATTCTGATTAGAAACTTGCTGAATAGCAGCTTCCATTTGAGCCTTTAGATCATGATTCTCAAAGAGTAACCTTTCTTTTTCAGACAGCAGGCTGTCATTAGCTGATTCAAGTTTTGTTACTACAACGCTCAAATTTTCCCGCTCCTCACTTGTCAGCACTATTTGCCGATTCAGGTGGACCATTTCCTGAGCTTTTTTCTCCAGCTCTTCATTCAAAAAACTGTTGTCTTCTTTTAGTTTCCTGGCATCCTTTGTCATCTTTTCATGTTCAAATTTCAGCTCTACAATTGTGTTGTCAGCTTGAAGTAGCATGCTGGAAACCTTTTCCTTTTCTGATGTTAAGACTTCATTTTCTTCCCGTAGGCCACTTATCTGAAGGCTCAACTTACTTTCTTGCTCTTTTGATTTTTCAGTTTCTGTCTTGAGAAACTCATTTTCAGAATCTAAGAGCTTCAGCCTATTCCTCACAGCTTGAAGTTCATCTTCCAATTTCATATCGACTGTTTCCCTAAATATTAAGTCACCTGCTAGATGTTGACTTTCTTCTAGCTTTGTCTGCATTGAAGCAGTCTGAGCCTCAAGTTCAGCATTTCGTTTGCTCAAACTATCAATCTGATCCTTAAGAGATTGGTAGTCCTCTAAAGATAATTGCTTTAGTGGTTTTTGTTCTTGAATTTCATTTAGTTCATCCTCATCAGACGAATCTTCTGATCCTGAATCAGAATTTCCTGATCTAGATTCACCTTTTCTGTGGTGAAATTTGTTCTTTATCGTACCAATTATTCCATCATGTCGTCTATACAGTGCATGATATCTTTTTTTTATGTCATTTACAAGAGAAACGAAGTCGGACCGATCAGATACATCTTCACTGTTGTTCTCAAACAGTTCCAACATTTTCTTCACATCATTTTCAATTTCTGCAAATAAAATACAAAGACCAAAATCTCATTAGAGTGACAAAGCGAAAGTAATAGTTAATTAAGTTTAATTAACAAACTTAATTGAATTAAATAATACAAATATTCTTAAAATTAATAGAATTTATGCCATGCCATAAGTTCTTGAGCTAATCAAGCATCATTAACTGGTTTATCAAGCTTAATTGATAGGTTGACCTGATTACTAGTGAAGTAAATTTTAAATTACAAATTATAAAAAAGTTTGTAATATTCAACCAGTCATTTAGCTGGATATCATTAATGGGTTAACTAACTTTAATTTAGCTTGATTTATAGGCTAATACGATCAAATGAATACAATTATAATTGATCAGATCATAAGTATTATTTCTTTTTATCTTACAATATTATCAAGCCAGTTTTTAAACGACCTGTTAGGGTTAGTCGTTGAGTAAAAAAGATTTAATTAAATAATTGTCATCATTTTATTGTCCATTTTGAAATGAAGTTTGATTTCATTATTAGGAATCGGGCAAATACAAAGACAAAATAAGCAAAAGGGAAAGA